GGTTTGGTTTTTCGAGACAGGGTTTTTCTGTGTAGCCCTGGCTGTCCTGGAACTCACTCTGTAGACCAGGCTAGCCTTGAACTCTCAAACTTAGAAATCCGCCTGCCTCTGCCTCCCAAGTGCTGGGATTAAAGGCGTGCACCACCACCGCCCGGCCAAAATAATATTTTTAAGCTGCTTCTCAAGTGTTTTTTAGTAGCAATGAAAACTTAACTAACATAGATTAGATAAACTAAAGCAAACTGCTTAAAACAGAGCCTAGCATATAAATAACAAGTAAATGACGCACTTTTTTAATTCATTATTTCAGAGCAGTTAGAAACCCAGCTTGTATAAATTTATACTGTTTTATAACTTTATAACAGTTATAGTACTTCCTCAACACCACAATCTCAAAACATTTAGACATTTGTTTTAACTTTCTTTTTTTATAAAAAAAAAAAAAAAAGTCTTACACTACATGCCAGGATAGGATGGCTTTAAACTAGGTACTCTTTTTGAGTGCTAAGATTACAGATATGGGGCTGGAAAGATGGCTCAGTGGTTAAGAGCACTGACTGTTCTTCCAGAGATCCAGGTTCCCAGCAACCACATGGTAGCTCACAACCATCTGATGCCCTCTTCTGGTATGTCTGAAGAGAGCAATGGTGTACTCATATATATAAAATAAATAAACCTTAAAAAAAATTTACAAATATGAACAAGCAGACCTGCTTTTTTTCATTTTTGGGAGAGTGAGAACTCACTATGTAACTTACATACTACACAGATGAAGCTAGTCTCAAAGCTCCAGGTCCTCCTACTTCAGTGTCTTATGCTAAGATAACAGGTATGAACCACCATTCCTAGCTAAACATTTCTCCAATAAGATTATACTTTGCAATCAAAAGAAATTGAGGCCTTGAGGACCGAGATTGGTTTAAGAGACCACCAGGGATGGGGTGAAGATTTGAACTTCAACTTTTAAGAATAGTGCTCTTGGGGCTCCCTGTCTGAGCATGTTGGTTGGCACTTCTCCTGGTCTTTTATCCCCAGATGACCCAGTTCCTGTCATTTTTTAAGAGTCAATCAACTCCTAAGAACATGGCCTAGATCTGCCCTGACTACTGCTGCACTCAAGGGTCTATAAGGTTACCCGGTACACAGTAGGTGAGCTATAAATGCTGTCAGGGCTTACCTCCTTGGCACTGAGGGGGAAACTCAGGCCCAGTAATCCCAGGGCAAGGTAGTCAGAAAAAGGATTAAGAGGTAATCAACTTTCTCACCATCTACAAATATTGCAGTCCTACAAACAATATAAGGTCATTTGACTATCTCAATCAAATCTTAAACTGAGAATTCCAGCATTATTTAAAATGTTCTCTACACTATTATAAATACTAGATTACTGAACAATATCCCTAGAAAGACCAACCTAGGACCAAGCATAGTGACAAGTACTTAAAATCTATGCATTTAGGCAGTTAGCTTGAGTTACACAAGACCTGGGTTTAAAAAGCAAGTAATCTAGATGTGGTATGCAGCTTTTAATTCTAGAACTCAAGAAGCAGAAGCAAGCCTATGTCCATGAGTTGAAGGCTAGTCTAATCTATACAGCTCTTAGACAGCCAGGGGTATATAGAGAAACCTTGTCTCAACAAAAATAGTGATATCAACAATAAATTTATAATTAATTGCAAAAACCAGTTACAGAGAACAGTCCTCTGACTTACACATATACATAGGCACAAAAGAGTACAGATGCACACCACACAATTAAACAACAAACTGGAATGGTGGGGAAAACCTCAGCATACACTAACAAAGAGATAAGTTCTGAAGAAAACTTTGCTAAGTGGAAAATAGAGAGAGGGGAAGAAGCAAGACAATGAGAAAAAGAAAGAGAAACAAAGGATTTCTCAAAACAGCACCGTAAAGTTTTGCCCTTAAAGTGAAAAAGATTGCCAGCTAAAATCCAGCACCAGAGCCAGTGAAATGGACAGACACACAGACACAGATACACACACACACACACACACACACACACACACACACACACACACACACACACACACACAGTTATGAATTGCAAAATAAAATTCACCTAAACTCAGGAGTAATATGCTCAGAGCTTTTAAGTTAACATGACCAATAAAGGATTTTAATTATTTTTGAGACATACGTTAACTCTGAGAGAAGATATCAAAGATGTAATACAATCAGGGAACACTAAAAATCAGAAGAAGTAAATTTCTTTGTGGCATGATGGTCTACTATAAATTTCTGAACAGGTGCTATAAAACAATGTTGTCACATTTGTGCCATGTAATTTTAGTTGCCAATAGGTAAAAGCAACTTAGGATGTTTAAACATACTAAATATGAAAAATACTAAATTTAACAATGTTAATATAAGCAGATGTGTGTATGATCAAGCTGTATCAAGTTAATGGTGATACACACCTTTAATCCCAGTACTCAGGAAGCAGAGGCAGGAGGATGTCTATAAGTCCAAGTCTAGCCTGGTCTACATGGTGAGTTCCAAGTCAGCTAGGACTATATAGAGAAAAAACCCTGTCTCAAAAAAACATAAAAAAAATTATGGCTCCTACAATTTAGAAAATAATAATAGCTTAATATAAAAACAAAAACTCCCAAATCTTTCCTCAAAAAGTATAAAATAAATAGAGGATACAGTCTTCTGCACTGGAGTCCTGGCCTAGCACACAACAAGAACTGGGATCAAGGTCTAAGACCACCACCAAAAAGTAGAAAAGGCCATAATTCTGTGTTATAAAGGTACAAATCTAACTTAACATGAATTAATCAACAGGTAGTAAAAGATTTTAATGTAACTCATACAACCTGAAGACATGAAACATCCTTTATTCGATTTTCCACAAATTTTGAAAGAAATCACATCAGTTTAACTGACTAAGATTTGTTAAAGGCTGAACATCTCTAGCACTAAAAAAAAAAAAAAAAAAACAAGCATACTCAAAACCCTAGGATTTCTTCATTTAAAATCATTTCAAATTTTAAACTAAGAGATGCTAAGCAGATAAGGCTTGTTTACTCAGATTCCCAAATTCAAAACCTCTGAATTTCTAAACATTTCTGGTCTAAAGCATTTTACATAAATACAAGCTACTGAATCTGTATTGTTTCTATTAAAAAGTCTTACACAGTAAAATTTTTCAGTACAAACGTTTCAAAATTTCTTGTCCAGAATCAACTGAATGGCATCTCTAAGTCCTGTCTCACTCAGGCTGAGATCTGAGCGTCAAACACAGCACTAATTCTGACTCAGTACACACCTCCTCAGTTTCTCCCGTTCTTCTCTCTCCCTCTCTTCTCTTCGTTTCAGACGTTCCTGGTTTCTCTTCTCCTGCTTCTCAGCCACAACTCTCTTAAAGATAATAATTACAAAATCAGTTGCAAATTTACTAGGCAAATTCCTTAATTATCTTTACCTTAAACATATCTGGTTTCCCACATAGTACAATTAGCATTAATATAATTTAAAAATTTGTCAGGTGCTACAATAATTACACTTTCAAGCTAGTCTTCCAGAATTGTGGAAAACATGCAAAACCTCATGTTTCATCGTAATTTGCTTTTTTAAAAAAGCAGGGAAGACAAGCATACCACTGAACTCCAGTCCCAACCACATCATTCCTTAATGAGATTTAATAATGTAATTAATAAAATGGTATTATACTACACTGTCAACAGAGTCTCAATACTGCCAAATCAGAATAAACAGTACTATTCAAATCCTAATTAATTACAGTACAGGGAGGGAGCCTGAGACAAGAGGACTACCAGAAGTTTAAGATCAGGCAGAGCTGTACAATGAAACCTTATCAATGAAACCAAAAGAAAACTGACACAGACCAAAAGAATCAGGTTATCCAGGACAAAGAGAAGGGCATTCATTTAAACAATGTACCTTTAATTCTTCCAGCTTTTCTCTTATTTCAATAAATCCCAGGTGCAATTTACCCCCAAAATGATCAGCAAGTCGTCTGTCATTATCATGAAGACCTAAATATGCAGAGCAGACTTCACAGACACGAAGTTTCTGCTGTTGAAAGCTGGAAGCTGGCATAGAATTCCGATAAACTTCCTAAACAAAGGCAAGAAAAAGAATGTTCACACAAATGTCCTTAGAAGGATATAAGAAAATATACTACATTTAAATAAAATGTTTTATAGTAAATCCTTTGAGAGGCTGCTCTGTTGGAGGTCAAAGCTTAAACTACCCTTTACTCTCCACCTCCCTACGATGCTAAAACATCAGATAAAAGGTTATCTTCATCAGGATTCAGACGACTTTTATTCATACATTTCATTTACATGGTATTCTTAATACATATTGGTAAATGTAAATCCATTATTCTCCTTTCCTTTCTAACACAATCCTGGGTATTTTGTTTGAAGCAGTTAATATATTTTCCAAGCCTCTATGCAGCTTTGGTTAGGATGATACAGATCAAAATAGCTGGACAGAATCTACTATAAATGCCATGAAAATAATATTAATACTCTAATAGTTTGAAGTCAGGAAGAAACTGATAAAGCAAAAATAACAGCTTAATCTTTGGTTCCATAAAGGTTTACTTGACTATATTGCTGTAAACTATGAATAAAAGAAAACAATTCCCTTTATCTCAATGTAAACTTTTAGGGGAATTTTTATGTGTGGGTTTGAATATACATACCAAATGTATGTGAGTGCTGACGAAGGCCAAGTGTCAGGTTCCATGGAACTGAGTTACCAATGGGTGTAAATCACATTATATACTACTGACTACAATCTATGTGTAGCTTGGGATTAAGGGTGAGGTCTGTATATGAGCATGGAACTACTTGTGCAAGTGTACATGTGTGTTGAGGCTGGAAGTTAAATAGTCTTCTATTGCTCTCCACTTTTTTATAAAATACTTATTTTTATGTACACATGTGGCCTGAGTACATGTATATAGATGGAGGAAGCCACTGAAGTCACAAGAGATATCTGATCCCCTGAAACTAAAGTAATAAACAGCTCTGAGCTGACACATGGAGGCTAGAAACCAAACCAGAGTCCTCTGTTAGAAAGCAGTAAATATTCTAACTGTGGGGCCATTTCTCCATGCTCCCTTCCACCTTTATGAGACAGGATCTCTCCTTGAACCTGGAACTCAACCTAGAGCTCAAGACTGGCTAGACTGACTAGACAGCAGCTCTTGAGATCCACTAGAACTGGAGGTGAAACACCCACCTGTCTTTTTAAATTTAAGATGTATGGTCCTGGGCTCAGGACATCATGCTTGTATTTTACAACTAAACAATCTCCACAATTTTTTACAATTAAAGATATTTTAATATATACTTTATGCATGAGTATAAAGAGAAAAAGAAGTGCTTAGAAAGACACAATACAGGAGTATGGGATGGGGTTCTTAAAGAATTACAGTTTATTAGTGGACATTCTTAAAATGTATATTTTAAGCATGAGAATTAAGATAGTGACACTTAGGAAAGGAACAATATATAATCAAGAGTGGGTACTGGCTTTTCCAGAGAACCGTACATCGTCTTCACAATCAACACACAGGATTTTGAAAAGTTTTGAAACTATTATCTCCAAAAAGTTACTAAAAAACCTAAATGTTGCCGGGAGTTGGTGGCGCACATCTTTAATCCCAGCACTTGGGAGGCAGAGGCAGGTGGACTTCTGAGTTAGAGGCCAGCCTGGTCTACAGAGTGAGTTCCAGGACAGCCCAGGCTATACAGAGAAACCCTGTCTCGAAAAAAAACAAACAAACAAAAAAACAAAATAAAACAAAACAAAAAGGCCTAAGTGATACCTGACATGTTTACAACTGATAAGATCACAGAAACAACAGATGTTAGATGTATTTAGAGACAAGTAAACTTTAAAACATGCTACCCTCAGTGAAAATCAACTAACAGTAACACAAGATCAAGGTTTTAAATCATTGTGTAAAGTTCTAAGTTCACTTACATATATAAAGCCTTATGCTATTCTAATTGTCTCCGTGTTTTGTTTAAGACAGTCTCACTATGTTTGTGTGCATATTGAGAACTAGACTCATGAGAGGAAGAAGGGATCATAGGAGAAGGCAACATATACCATACAACAGTAACAATAAATATGTATGTGTATACATATACACATAGTTTTTGTTGTTGTTTTTTGTTTTTGTTTTCTGAGACAAGACTCTCTGTGTAGCCTTGGCTTTCTTAGACCTCACTCTGTAGACCAGGGTGGCCTCCAACTGAGAGGTCTGTCTGCCTCTGCCTTCCAAGTGTTGGGTTTAAAGGCATGTACCATCACTGCCAAGCAAAATATAATTTTTAAAAAGGTCTAAAATCAATCCAAGCAGCTATTTCACAAGAGTAGAAGACAAATAAATTATAGAACAAAGGGAGAACAAAAATGTGAACAGAAACCAAAGATGACAAGGGAAAAATAAGGTCAAAAGATCAGTTCTCTGAAGAGGAAAATAAAGCCGGTAAGTATACAGCTAGTCAAATCAGCAGAAAGGACTGCAAGTGCAGGTCAGAGGTAGACTATTTATCATCATGGCCAAAGGAAGAAAGGAGGGGAAAGTTCCCAAATGAGAACAGACTTTAACAAGAAACAGTTTGAGGCTGGAGAAATGGCTTAGCAATTAAGGGCATTGGGTGCTCTTCCAGAGGACACGGATTCAAATCCCAAAACCCACATGGCAGCTCACAACTTTCTATAACTGATATCTGACACTCTCACACAGACATACATGCAGATTAAAACACAAAGCAGATAAAACAAAGGTAAATAACACGTTTTTTCAAAAATTTTATGAATAATTTTATGTTAACAAGTAAAAACATAGAAATTCCATGAGACAAAACTTCCAAAGTGACTTAAAAATGGAAAAAAACTTGAATTCTGTATAATTAAGAACGTAAATTTTTGTGTTAGGCTATTCATTTTAAGATATTATTTCACTCTGTAGCCCAGGTTGGTTTGGCCATGAACTAAAAGTGGTCATCCCACCTCAGCTTCCTGAGTGCTCTGACTCCAAGAATGAGCTACCAGCACCTGGTCAGAATTTACCTTTTAACTAAACTTTCCCATAAAGCAAAACAAAAAACATACAGTTCATTTTGAATGGCTTCTGGAACAGTCTACCAAGCAATTAAGCGAGAAAAATACTGAGTATATCATATCACTTTTAAAAACAACGGAAAACTTACAAACTAGTTTTATAAATTGGCACGATACTGATACCAAGCCAAAACCAAGTTTTGGACAAGTCAGAATGGGTGGGAGAAAAGAATACTTGTGTTTGAGAGGCTGAGGCAGGGAGATCAAAAGATAAAGGCAAGACTGAGAAACTTTTAAGGCCCTGTCCCGTCTCAAAGGAAAATTTAAAAGGATGGGCATAAAACCTGGTGGTGTAAGTACACGCCTTTAATTCCAGCACTTAATGAGGCACAGGCAGGCAAATCTCTGAGTGTGAGAATAGCCTACAGAGTTCCAGTTCAACCAGACCAGGAGTGCACAAAGAAACGCTGTCTCGAATTTCCCCTGACCAAAAAAAAGATGGGGGTACAGCTCAGTGGTCAAGTGCTTGCTTTGACTGACTACTTCCAAGAAGCCTCAGGTTTAATCCCAAGGGAGAGGGTTTTCATAAAAAACAGCTAACATGCAGCAGGCCTTTTTTTTCTCAAGTTAATAATATTTTCTAGATGTCTTAGGTTCCTGACTGTGATATGGGTACTATATATGTGTTATAAAGAACATTGACAAATTTTCCCTTTTGTCTTGCCTTGCCTCAATGTCTCCTTCCTGTACTGTACTGAACACCAACATTAAGACATACAAATATGCTGAAGAAATAGTAAAATTGCTACCTTCTATTCTGCTTTTCCACACTAGTATGAAGAATGGAGAAAGAGAAATACTAGAGCAGAATAGAAAAAAAAAAAGTAGAATGTACTCCAAAGATGTCTGAATGAAAAGGCTTCATTTTTCTGGCTTCTTTTTCTTTATTTCAAGACACGGTCTCAACAAATCTATGATCCCTTGCTCAAACTTTCCAATTTTTGGAATTATAGTTGTGAGTTACTTCATCTGCAGATCTGTACTTTTAAAAACCAAAATATTCTAAATTCAACATATAAGAATTAAAAAAAAAAAATTTAGGATTCTTTTCTTCTGAAGAGACACCATGACCACAGCAACTCTTGTAAAGGGAAAACTAATTGGGGTTGCCTTATAGTTCAGAGGATTAGTTCATTATCATCATGGTTTAAAATATGGCAGTATGTAGACATAAATGACTCTGAAGAGATAGCAGGAAAAGCAACTAAGCCAACCACCTGGGCATAACTTAAGCATCTGAGACCTCAAAGCCCACCCACAGTGACATGTCTTCAAACACAACCACCCCTACTCCAACAAGGCCTAATAGTGCCACTCGCTAGGAGCCTATGAGGGCCATTATCTTCCAAACCACTACAAGGGGGTATACCAATTAAAAACAATTTGTTTACATGATATATGATTATTGACCTGTGCCATTAAATAGCATATTGTACTGCTACAGTAAGTAAAATCACTGTGGAAAAGAATAAGTAAGTAGCACAGTGTATACAGGTATGTTTCTTTTCTGTGGGTCACCAGTTTAATTACATTTATGAGTTACAAATTTCAATATAGCAATGCTTCCAATTGTCCAAAAAATACTCTGAAACAGTACCCAACAGCATAACAGCAACCGCTTAAGTATTTTTAAAGTGATTTAATTTCCTTTAAGAAATTTTTTAACAATTTTGAGTGAAATATATATTCTCTAAAAAGTATAGGCACTAACATTTTACCACTATTAGAATTTACCTCATTCCAGGATAATTGAGTCTCACAATAAAACCTTATCTCAAAAACAAAACAAACCAAAAGAAAAAAGAAATTTTACCTCTGCTTCTCTTTTCTTTGCTCGTGCTTTCTCTACTTCATCCATGACTTTCTGAGATTCTTCCACATTTCCTTCAGCTCCTAGTTGTTCCACTTTGGCCAACAACTTGCCTATTTCCTCATTTAACTCATGAACACGTTCTGCCTAGAAAAACAACAATAAAAGACCATCAATGAAAAACAGAATGAGGACTGGAGAGGTGGCTCAGAGGTTAAGATTACAGGCTGCTCTTCTAGAGAATCTGGTTTCAATTCCTAGCACCCACACTACACCTAACAGCCATCTGCAATTCAAGTTCCAGGAGATCTAAAGCACTACTTTGGCCTTCAGAGGCACTAGGACCACAGGTGATGCACAGAAGGCAAAACACACATACACATAAAACAGTAAAATTAAAAAAAAAAAAAAGGAACATACACAAGGTAGTTCAGAAACTCATAAAAGACCCATTTATGAAGCAAGACAAGAAAGAGTCTTGCTACAGACCAAAAAGGACTCCATTCCCAATCCTCCTTCCTGTGCCTCCCAAATACAATTTTAAATCACCACACTTGGAAATGAAAGTTTTAAATTAATAGAAACATCCAATTATCTTTAAACTAGGGTTTTTTCCTTAAGCATTTTTTAGATTTGTCTTTATTTACTTTCATTTATTTATTTTCTGTATAAATACTCTGGGGCATGTATACCTGCATGCCAGAAGAGGGCATTGGTCATGAATTACAATGAAGGTGTTGGGAACTGAACTCAGGGCCTCTGGAAGAGCAGCAAGTGCTCTAAACCACTGAGCCATTTCTCCAGACCTCAGAAATATCCAATCTTAATAAACTAGTGCGTCAATAATGGTTACATCTTAAAGTATCCCCAATCTAAGACATTTCTTTCCTCGAAGATCATGGCATATACATGGCTCAAAGCATATATATACTGTACATACACACACAAAAGTAAAACACATAAAAATAAGCTTTGCTGGGCATTGATGGCATATGTCTTTAATCCCAGCACTTGGGAGGCAGAGGCAGGTGGATCTCTGTGAATTCAACGCTACCCTGGTCTACACAGTGTTCCAGGACAGTCAAGGCTAGAGATTCTGCCTCAGAAAACCAAAAGGGGGAAAACAAAAGGCTTAATATTAATTTTTAAAATGATAGAACTATACATACATGACTGACAATTTTGAGTAATATATAACTATCAATGTTTCTTTAGCTATATTGTTATATTAGTTGTTAATATTTGAGTAGGTAAAAACAATTCTATAGATTACTTATCAATAATCAAAAAGTTGGACTGAGCCTGGCATAGTGGCCCTTAGCACTCAGATGCAAAGGGAGGTAGATTTCTCTGAGTTTAAGACCAGCCTGATCTATACTATAAAGTATGTTCTAAGCCAACTGTTCTCTAAAAACACCCAAAAAAAAAAAAAAAAGCAAGAAGGAAAAAAACAAGTAGTAGTTGTCAGAGTGAATAAAACAGGTTAAAAGTGTACTTTATAATCCTAACACTTGGGAGGCAGAGGCAGGAAGAGACAGATCTCTTGTGAGTCTGAATCCAGTATGGTCCAGTATGGTCTACAAAGTGAGCACCAGAACAGCCAGGGATACAGAGAGAGTCCCCTATCTCAGACAATAACAAAACCAAATAAAACAAAAAATCCTGATACTTTGAACTTATGGAATTTTTACCTTTGCTGCCACTTCAGCACTTATCTCTTCTTGAGTTTCTGCTAATCTTTTCTTAGACACTTCTGTTCTTCTATCACAATCTGCAATGAATGACTGCAGATGATCCATGGCCTAGGAAATTCAACATACAACAATTACTGCCACAAATCAGTGTTACCCCAAACAATCTTTACAAAACAATGTATTTTGGGTAGAGGAAGAAGCCCTAAGTACAGAAATGCTTTCCTATCACACAGGAAGCCTTAAGATAAATTTCCAACACTCCGCTGTAGCCTCCTAAGACAAGAAAATCACAGGGCTGATGACATGGTTTAGTGTCAGAGCATGTGTGAGGATCTGGGTTTCAAGCAGTTCTAAAAATTCAAAGTTCAGGAAAAGGAACCACCAACCAAGCAAACATCCCCCCCCAACCCCACGCCGCCAAACCCGCAAAACAACAATAAAAACAGTTTCATTCTTATGGTATAGAAAAAAACAAAATACAAACAGTAACAAATTTAGAAATACACCCCTATAATCTCAGCATTTGGGAGGCTGAAAAAGAATGGCAAGCTAAAGAGCAGTTTGGATGACAGCAAGAAAATATCTCAACCAATCCAAAATGACTTGATTGCTAATAAGCCTAAAAGTTCCATCTCCAGGATACACAGGAAAGAACCAATTCCTCCAAGCTAATCTTTGATCACAGACAGACAGAGGCACAGGCACACACAACATAGAAGACCACTATAATGTCAATAAGATTTATTATTTCTGGATATTTAGGTAATTGTTTGCATTCTGTGGTTTTCAAATTATTACAATGCCATTAACAAACTTAACAATGCCCAAATCAGAGGGAAAAAAAAAAAGCAAATAAAGTTGCATATAGTATGAGGTATATTTGAGAGGCAAAGGCAGGCAGATCTCTGAGTTCAGGGCCAGCCTAGTCTACATAGCTAATTCCAGGACAGCCAGGGCTACACAAAGAAATTCTTTCCCCAAAAATCAGAAGGAAAAAAAAAAAAAAGAAATATAAAACCAAATGTTCAACTGTAGTGGTTTGAATGAGATATCCACCATGTACTCAAGCACTTGAAGACTTGGTCCACAGTTGATATCCTTCTTTAGTTCTAAGAGGTGTGGCCTTAATGAAAGAAGCATGCCACTAGGCCAGACTTTGAGGTTTCAAAAGCTATTGCCAGTATGTTCTCCTGATTGTTGCCAGGCAGGCCTCCCAGCCATGAAGTAAACAGACTATTATTCCTCTGGAACTTTACATCCAAATAAGTTACTTTGGTCTTGGTGGTTTTAATCACAACAATAGCAAAGTGACTAGTATGTACATCAGCTAAAAGTAGAAATTTATTATACACACACTGAACATAAAAATAAGACAAAAATTTCCACAAAGTTAAATCACAATACAAATCTACTTTCATTTCCTTATATAAAGTTAAAGATAGCATCCTAATGTAGTAAAAGTAACAGTGAAATTATCAAGAAATATTTTTGGTTCTATGAAGTAGCTATTTTGGCTATTTTTTATAGCAGAATAAATCCAAAATGTATAAAGGATTTAAAATAAGCCCCACAAAGGGCTGGAAATATAACTCAGCCCTTGCTTTTCCTGTAAAACACCTGTGTTTGGTTCACAGCATCCACATGCAGTTCACAACCATCTGTAACTACCAGGGTATCTGAAGATCTATGGGTGCCAGATATGCACCCGGTGAACATATACTCAAAGATGCATACTCGAGTGTAAAAGATTCACACACACACACACACACACAAAAAAAAAAAATCTAAAAACTGAAAATAAATACATAGAAGAAACGATAGGTAAGAAATATTTTTAGGTCAAAATTGAAAAGATTTTTCAAATTGATAAAATAGATATTATAAGCACTGATTAGACAGCATAAATACTATCTAAAGCAGTCATCCAAAAAAAAAAAAAGATAGGAAAATAGAAAATATATTTACACTATACATGGGAAAAGGGGACAACTTTCATAATTTATAAAAAGTTAATGTACGTCAACTAGAAAGCTGCTAACACTCATGTTTAGCAAACTTGGAAAACACATGCATTACACATGATATTAAATACAATTAGTAAATTTACCTTCACTCATAAAAATGCAAATTAACACCCTTACACTCATATTCTCCTGTTTGTCAGCAGTACCTAAAAAAGTCTTGACAACACTGTACAGCACACAGGGGTAAAATCCAACGAATTACTTAAAAATAGCTGAAACTCTCGCAAAGAACAATTAAGCATTATCTATAAAAATTACCTTTGGCTCAACTACTTTTTATACCAATAATTTAAAAAGACTGAAATTAACCTCAATTTATCTGTGATGGTTTGTATTTGCTTAGCCCAGAAAGTGGCACCATTAGGAGGTGAGGCCTTGTTTGTGTAACTGTGGTTGTGGGCTTAAGCCCTCATCCTAGCTGCCTACAGATCAGTCTTTCACTAGTAGCCTTCAGATGATGTAGAACTCTCAGCTCTGGCTGCATCATGCCTAGTTAGATGCTGCCTAGCTCCAACCATAATGGACTGAACCTCTGAACCTGTAAGCCAGCCCCAATTAAATGCTGTCCTTTGTAAGACTTGCCTTTGGTCAAGGTGTCTGTTCACAGCAGTAAAACCCTAAGACAACATCCAACAATGTTCAACTGATGATAAGATTTCCTTCTAAATTATGCCCACAGTATTAAATGTATTCCTATAGATGGTTTTAATTTCCAGTAACAAAACTTTTTAGATGTTCAAAGAAGACAGAAGGACCTATTTATGGCTAGCTTCAACTAAATAAAATTACCTATTTCACTGATAAAGAACAGAAGATTTTTATTGACCATTATGTCTTACGTACATGTATTTCATAAAAATGTAAAAACCTTAAGGTAATATGTTCTTTAAAACATATTGTGTATTTAACATATTCTCTATTTTTAAGGTATTTATTTCATATATATAAATGCTTTGCCTGCACATTATCTATAGTATGCACAGTGTCTACAAACAGAAGAGGGCATCAAATCTCCTAAAGCTGAAATTATGCTTATGAGCCTTTTGGCTCTTATGAGTGCTCTTAACCACTAAGCCATCTTATTCTTCACCTTTATGTTTCTGTTTCTGTTTCTGTTTCTCTCTCTCTCTCTCTCTCTCTCTCTCTCTCTCTCTCTCTCTCTCT